TAACAAGCTTCAAGCTGATACCAGGGGAGAAGAGGGGCAGCCTGCAGGGGCAGAGAGCAGGTGCCTTCACTTGATTCCCAGCTCTGCAGCTTATAGACTGAGACCGTGAGCACACCACCCTTCCTCAGAAAAATGATCATAAGACCTACCCCACTGAATGTGGCGGCTGTAACAGGAGACATTCACTCATTTATTCACCGAATCTTCGAGAACTCACTGCATGTTGAGCCCTGGAAGTGTGAGAGTTTTGAAATCAGAGGAGCACCGCATTGGCTGGAGGGAAGAGGTGGTCTTATCTTGAGAAGCAGAGCTCCCGGGGGTGAAGGGTAGACAGGGAGAGGCCAGGACGGGCTGCTGTCCTCTGGGGGCATGTGCCCAGGCAGTAAGAAGCACAGGAACTGGGAGCTTCCCACATCATTGGGGCACCAGTCACTTCTGCCTACAGGGACCGCTGCCTACTGCACCTTCAGGTAACTTCTCCGCTGGCAGCCCCTGAGATCCCAGATTGCGCTGTTGAGATGGTTGTCAGAGAGCCGGCAAACAGAAGTTTCCCTGAAGAGCTGTCTTTTGAGGGGGAGGTTTGCTCTACAGAAATGCAACCAGGCATTCTCCAAGGCCCTCCCTTGTCCAGATCTAGGTAAGATTCACTGAGAGTCTGACATGTTTAAAGGTCTGAAAAAGAATTATCCCTGTAATCCCAGCACTTTGGAAGGCCGAGACAGGCAGATCACCTGAGGTCAGGAGATCGAGACCAGCCTGGCCAACATACTGAAACCCATCTCTACTAAAAACATAAAAACTAGCCGGGCATTGTGGCACATGCCTGTAATTCCAGCTACTCGGGAAGCTGAGGCAGGAGAATCACTAGAACCCGGGAGGCAGAGGTTATAACGAGCCTAGATCACACCACTGCACTCCAGCCTGGGCGACAGAGCAAGACACCATCAAAAAAAAAAGGGGGGTGGGATGATCATCTATTCTCTCTGAGGGCTGCTAACTGTGGGGTGTCATCTGCATAACCAGATCACCTTTGTTACCCAGGACTCCCGTTCTCCCCCACAATAATCTGTCTCGCCACCATAACCTGAGGTTCCACCACAGCCTGGTTTGGGCCATGCTCTGAGCCCCCATTCTCTCTGTAACTGTTGGACTGGATGTAAGCTTCTGCGCCTCGCTGCAGATGGTGGGGTCATCACTCCACCATTCTCCCCCGTGCTCATGTTGACCTGTCTGCCTTTATTCCAATTAATCTCCTTCTGTGCGTTGATTTTTCAGCAAACCTCCAGAGGAAGAAGGGGATGTTTTTTCTTTGTCCCCTACAGCACTCTGTCCCTCAGAGTACCCCTTAAACCTGCCTGGGTAATCCCAGCGTGTGGAAAATGGAGAAATCTAGTTCACAGCCTCCTTCAGCACCTGTCACTCCAGCCTTAGCCACCAGCCCTGGAGAGACCTGGGCCACCCGGGGATGCGTCCCTGAGAGCTGCCCCCAGGGTGGCATCCATGTTGCCTCTAATCCTGAGACGGCTCGCCAGGGAGCCCATGGCTGAAATCTGAAGGCAAGCTGTTCTGAAGACTTCCTGCTTTCCCGGAACACCACCCAGAGATGGCCGTGTCCTCCGGCTCTGCATCAGAGTGACGGAAGCTCAAGGATGTCGGTGATCCCAGTGCTGGCAGAGATCACGGCTCGGTCCAGCCATCGCCTCTTTCTCCCCACTTCACAGTGGCCAATGAGACACCTTGCATGTGGGTCATCAGAGGAAGCCACCTTTTCTCTAGAGGCGACACCCACACCTGGAACACATCTCTCTCCCAAGGAGCCTGTGATGCCTTCACAGGAGGGTGTGTGGCTGCCACAGGGCACCAGGCTAGACTCTGAAGCATCCTGCTGTCCTCAGGCCAAGATGCGTTTCCAGCACAATGAAGCTAGAACTAGGGTCTGGAAACATCACATCAGCCCTTTGCATGAAGTCAGAAGACTAAGCCCCTCATCTTCACAACTCACTGGCTCTACGACTTTGGAAGAAGCTCCAAACCTCTTGGTGCCTTCAATTCATCATCCAGAAAAGGAGTATCATGACACTGTACTTACAAGGATCAAAACAGCGTCCCAGGTGTGAAAACGCTGTGAATTACAAGAGCTGTGAATGTCAGTTGCTAGTAGTCATATACGAACCTCGTTGAGGGAAGGAGGAGAGAAGGTGAAAGGTGCTTACATCTATTTACAATCTTGAATTCCTGGACTCTAAGCTGGTGTTTGTATTTTCCAGCTAGTCCATGATGAGATGTTCACTTGTGACCATTTAGTCTCTAAAAATGAATTCCCATCTGGAATCCAAGACCGTGGCTGGCCCGAACCCTGGGCCCACATCACACTTCCAAGAAGGAAGCTAGAATGGCCCCTAGGGAATAGCCTCTGTCAGGATGGTCATTAAACACCCCTGCTCTCTACATTTAGAGCCTGGAAAAACTTAGTCGAAACCTAAAATGAACTGAACCTTGGCCCGTGGATGTTTCCAGGTAAATTGAAACCCTCATCCACACCGTTAGCCCAGCGCTTCTTCAACCTGGTGATGCTTACCCGCCCTGGTTCCTTGTGCCAGTATACTCTGGCATGTGAGGAGGCGTTCCAAGGACTGATGGCTTTGAGCTGGCTGGTGACATTTTGGAAGCTGTGGTGCCAGCCACCATTAGGGAAACCCTACACTGATTCACTGGCTCTTCTGGGTAAGGGTACAAGGTCTTCTTGGTAGGAATCTAAGAGACGAGGTATCCTGGTTGTGTTGGAAAGAAAATGGTCTTTGGAGCCAGACAAATCCTGATTTAGTATGGACTTCAGAATGCCTGTGTAGATAGGATTTGGGACACCAATCTCAATGAAAGGGAAAAGGCTGGGGAACACACACTGAAGCTTCATTTTTGCCTCCTGCAGGCTCTTCCGACTTAGATTGTGTGTTTATTTGGGATGATTGTGGAGAAGGGGCTGCTGCAGATGATGGTTGAAGCTAACACCTCCCAAATCAGCTCTTGATAATGTCACTGTCTGGATTCAAATTCAGCAACTACCACTTACCATCTATGTGACTTTGGGCGAGTAACCTAGCATCCCAGAGCTACTGTTTTCTTATTTATAAAATGAGAAGAATAATCCCACTCTGGCAGGGTTTTTGTGGGGGATTACACAAGATAGCATATGGGAAAGGGCTTAGCACAATGCAAGCCTATCATAGGCTCTCCGCATACGCAAGTTTCTTTCCTTCTTCCCATCGCTGGTCCCCAGATGTCTCAGGATCCTAACGAAGAATCCAGATGAGGACCGAGATCTAGAAAGTTCTATTTTTAAAGTTAGATTTGTGGAGGGGGTTGGCTTTGGATTTTGTTGCCCACCATTAAGTGTATTTCAAGAGGGCACCACATCTGTCCTGCACATTGTTAAGTCCAGAACACCACACAGCTGGCCTACTTGAAAGGGAGCCTCACAGGCTGAACTACACAGGCAGCGCCAGTCCTGAGGGTGAAAAAGCCACCATAGCAAATGAATTAGGCCAGCGGTTTTCCTAATGTCTAGAGGCAGCAGAATCTTCCTGCCGTGGGACTTTTTTTAATGGTTTTTTTCTCTCCTGGTTTTTGTGTATTTTGTTTTTTTTCCCTTTGTCACTGAACTCCTGGAGGCTGGACAAGACACAGGAAGATAGAATAGAAGGAGAAAGAAGGAGACATTATAGGTACCTGCCCCAGTACCAAGTTCTTTGCAAGGAATCTCTGGAGACTCCTTGTGGAACTCATGGGGCTGGCAGAAAAATACTGACTTTGCTAATGTCCAGCACTCATTTTGGTTCATTCATTCATTCATTCATTCATCCAGGAAGCATTTGCTGAGGGAGGCTGACAGCTCTCTGAGAGATGTTAATACGTGACATAGTCCCAGTCCCTACATTCTAATGATTTGTTTCAAATAACAAATGATGGGACTCAGAAAACAATACCCCAAAACGGAGGCCTTAGCAGCAGCCTCAGAAGCAAAAGTTCTTCTCTGATCTTCTCCTGCCTTCCTATTTCTTGCCCGTCATTCTCCCCGAGGCCAGCCATAGAAAGTAGAATTCCTCTACTCCAAGGTGGATACAGAAACCAGAACCCCTTTTCCCCAAAGCCAGCCATAAAACCTAAAATATGGCTCTAGCTTTCCCTCCATCTTTCTTTGTAAAAACTGGCCATAAAGAAATCATCTGACCTATCTTGTTTGACCATAGGTCATAAGACCGCCATTCCAGAAAGGGTCCTGTCCCGTGCCCAGAAGGAAGGAATGCTGCATGGATGGCTGGGAGAATCGAGGCAGACAGGCCTTGCGAGGCCTTCCCAGTCAGTCAACTAAGATTCGATCAGACCCTTTTTGTCCAGTTATATTTCTACACGACCATCCATACTTTCTTGAACCTAAGTATAAAGGTGGACAATTTCCCCTCTATCTTTGGGTCTTCATTCTGAAGGCTCCTGTGTATATAGGTTAAATAAGGGTGTATGCCCTTTCTCCTATTAATCAATCTGCTTCATGTTAGTGATTTTCCAGTGAACCTTTGGCAAGCAATGCTGGCTCAATTAGAAATAGAAATTTGCAGGCTGGGCATAGTGGCTCACACTGTAATACCAGCACTTTGGGAGGCTAAGGCAGGTGGATCACTTGAGGTCAGGAGTTCAAGACCAGCCTGGCCAGTATGGTGAAACCCTGTCTCTTAAAAATACAAAAATTAGCCAGACGTGGTGTTGCATGCCTGTAGTCCTAGCTGCTCAGGAGGCTAAGACAGGAGAATCACTTGAACCTGGAAGACAGAGGTTGCAGTGAGCCAAGATTGCACCCCTATACTCCAGCCTGGGTGACAAGAGCGAAACTCCACCTTGAAAAAGAAAGAAAATAGAAACTTGCAAAAGTATCAGCTGTGAGACCTGGGCCAGTGGATTACGAAGCCACATACACCGCACATTGTTCCCTTGCAGGGACCCAGCCCCTCCCCTGAGAATCCAGGTTCCTGACTTCTGGTCTCCTGCACGCTCGGTGCTATGCAGTGTCAGCCCAGTGTCTGGCTCACAGCAGCCCTGGTGAGTATCTCTTGGGGAGTACCTTTACCACCTGTGTATTACAGCTTCCCAAGGATTCGGAGTAAGGGAAAGAAGCCATTTAAACAAAATTACTTTTGAAACACAGATGAGCTCACAATCTAGAAAAAAAAAATGGTGCTTGGCAGGAAATGTTTAGGATTTGGCAGATTCTGAAGGTCACATTGTTTGATGCTTCCATAAACCTGCTGCTTCTCCTCTTCCCTAAACATCAGCTCCCAAGAGAGAAGGTCAGCCCAGGGCTCTCCAGGCGATGACAGTTCCTTGGATAACATGCAACCTTTTCTGGAAGGCCCATTCCCTCAGCGCTCAGCTCAGCACCCATCCAGAGCACCTCACTTCCCTTCTCACCATGGTTTCCCTACCAATAGATTCCACACGCACATAGGGTGATAGAGGGTCAGTTCAGCTGACCATGTTTCCCAGCAATGGACAATAGATTCCTCACTGGGGAGAAAGGAGTCTTTTGACCTGGGATTCCCCTTGTCTCTAATGAGCCACTAGGGGCCATGGTACAGGCAGCCAATCCTAAGGACTCTCCCTCTCCTCTGGTTCTTCAGCCTGGTTTTTCAGTCTGCACACTACTTGGTTTACGGTGCCTGGAGAACCTGAAGCCAAAAAGATGCTTACCCCTGACTTCTCTGATTTCAGGGTTCCTTACTACCTAATGTCCACCCCTGGTTCATAATCAGCTTGAAGGAAGACACAACCAAAACTCTACCTTTGCACCGGCTGTGAAATGGGATCAGAGGATTCCGGTAAAAGTTTGTTAGGCCGAGTGGGACATATCCAAGGCCTCCTAAGAAAGGAGGCTGGATGTAGCTGTGGAGCCACTTCTGGAGGTCTGGATAAGCATGGGTAAAGCATGCCTCCCACCTGCAATTTGCAGACCATACTGTGTGGCCTTAAAGCCCTGGGATCAGTGAGGAGGCCCCGGGCCAAAATTCTGGTTCAAACTGTGAGCCCAAACAGATAGGCTTTCATTATGGTAGAAAAAAAATGTATCAAGTGAGTGGGTGTTTGTTTTGGTTTTTAGAATATTAACATGGTTTAATACCGTCGTCTGGAGGGTTTAGAAGAATGACATACGTAGCAAAGTTCTTGGCACCCAGTAGGAACTCAATAAATGATAGCTATTGAATTTCCCTCTTCTCTGTCCAGCAGGAAGCGCAGACCTGCCCACTCTGGGCCTTCCTCCTTGGGAGCCTGATGCGTTTTGCAGCGAAGCCGCCCTTCCCCCAACTCAGCCACCTCTGAGTGCTGGTTGTGCCCCTGCCTCGGTAACTGGGTCATCTCTTCCCTGTCTCCGGCACTCAGCAGAGGAAATCAAATGAGTGTTAATTGAGGGCTGGGTTCATCAAAACTACTGCTCTTTTCTGGTGTGCTTTATTTAAGTGTAAGCCAATCCAAGCTTACCATGGGGTTTCTATGTAACTGAGAGTTCCCAGTGCTTTGTGGCAGGGCTCGCATTCATTCCAGACAAAGCATAATGAGCCGCAATCTCACATTACCTAATCACATGGAGGCAGCGCGGATCACAATGCCGTATTTGGCATTTCTGTGGTGCGCTCCATCTGAGGAGCTCAAAGGGCTTAAAGAAAACCCTTTCTTTATTTGGGAAGTATTATTATCTGGGTTTTACAGAGAGAGATACCGAGAGGTGAAGTGACCTGCTTTAAGACCACACAGCAAGACGTCTCTGGGCTGAGAGGGAGCCCAGCAGCTGACAGGCCCTCCTTGGCCAGACTTCACAGGCTCAAAACAGAAAGCTGCTCACACAGAGCCTGTCCTCACCGGGCCCCGTGGGGGACTCACGCAGGAGACGGAACTCAATAGCAGAGATGGAGGCAGAGGGAATTTAAAAGCATCCGCCGGAGGAAAGGTGTGCAAAGACCTGGCTCAGCCCCGAGGGAGCAGACTGCAGGATGAGTTGCGCTGACAGAGCACGAAGCCGTGAACTGTGTTCAGCAGGTATTTCCTCAGCTTGCTTCATGGATTGACCCCCAGAGAGGATCCTTTTATCACCTTGCTTCTCTGTGACAACATTATTTTTAGTAATAGCCATGAAATGAAACAACAAAAGTAATGGATAGAAGAGAAAAGCAGTGAAATTTCTCTCTTACTGACCCTTCTGTGGATGGTTATGCCCATAAAATAGAAAAATAAATAACACAGCAAATACTACAGTATCAAAAAAGTAGTGGATTAACATCTTTAACTATATTTTTGTTAGTTAGCTTTTTGTTTTAATGGAAATAACACTTAGAGTCACATACTGATCTATTGTAGTAATGAGTCATGACATGATGGTCTCTGTTTTTAACACTTCACTACTTTAATTTGTCCATGACCTTGAAAACAAATTGATCTTCATATTTTCTTGTTCCATGAGCAGTTTTCCACGTATCACAGAACACTGTTTAGTGACTTTAATTTTGAAAAGTGTCTTTCACGTAAAGCAATGCATATACAGTCTATAGCCATACCGTCCTGAATGAGCCCGATCTTGTCTGATCTTGGAAGCAATAGATATACAAATTGTTATGAAAAATCTTAAGCAACAGAATATGTATGGCAAAGATTCATAAAAGTCAAATTTCACAATAAATTCTATAAATTGCAGTAGATCCCACAACTCTGTTTCTCCAAGATCAATTTTGTTGTCTTTCAGATGCCTCCATGGCTGAAAAATTATGAACACAAATAAAAATGCCAAGCGATTACACAGATTGGCAGAACTGGAGTAACTCAAGTTTCATATAAAGACATGCACAGAAACAATAACATGGTAAAATATGCAAGAATAAAACAAATTCCGAGCTTGGGAAGAGGAGTAAGTGGGAGAAGCCAAACCAGAGAGGGAAAGGCACTTTCAGTTATCTGCACACTGACGTAGGTGCTATGGTTGGACCATGAAGTTAGCTCAACAGTCCAGGCTTCCTGGCAGCCAAAGAAAAAAGGGAGATAACGTCCTGCCATTCATATTGACAGAAAAACAGCCACTTTGGAAGAGGCTGAAGAATAGCCCTGGTCAACCCATGTGGAGGCTTCCACGCAAGGGCTGGCCGAGTCCACGGAGGGGCGTCAGGAACTACAGCACACTTCGATTCTGTTTGTTTTTCACATATTGGTTTCAGACCAGGAGAAGGTGAACTTGAATAAGAAGTCCCAGATGCCCTGTGAACAACCATTAGTAAGTATTTAAAAGATGGATTTTACTAAGAAACTAGGAAAATTGTGTTCAACACATTTTAGAACTGAGATTGAATAAATGACAACGCTTGACTAGATCAAGAATAATGAAGAAGATGAAGAAAAGAGCTGGAGAGCAACAAGAGGGTTCCATATCCCTTTTGAGCTGGGTTAAATACCACTGTCTTCTGTTGAGACTCCCCGCAAAGGGATGATCCAGGAAGCACTCAGCCTGCAGAAAGCCTGCACCATCTTTAAAGAGCTCAGTGCTTGGTTAGATTAAGGTGATGTAAAATGAACTAATACATATCTAAACAACCCATGAGTCAAAATAAGAATCACAATGGAAATTAGGAAATATATCAATAAAAAGGTAATAAAACTAAAACATATCCAAATTTAAGGGATGCAGCCCAAGAATGCATAAGAGAAATTTACAACTTTGAATGCTTTGCTAGAAAAGAAGAAAAGATGAAGAAACAATAAACTAGGTTTCCATCTCAAGATTTTAATAAAAGAAGAACAGCATATGAAACCCTAAGATAATATAAGAATAAAAAAAAAAAATAGCAGGAAAAAAAAAAAAAAAAAAAAAAAAAAAAAAAAAAAACTTTAACAAAGACTAATAGAATTGATAAGCTCATAATAAGACTAATTTAAAAAAAGAAGTCATAAATAATATCAGGAATGAAAAGGAGGACCTAACAATATACCCTGTGGTTCTAAATAAGATAAAAACCTGTTCAGAACCAATTTATGAGGATAAATGTTTAAATCTAGGTGACATAGACAAATTCTTTGGAAAACACAACTTATTAAAACTGATCCAAATAAAAAAAGGACTCTGTTATCATAGCCTTATATCTATTAAAGAAATAAAATCCATAATGAAAACCCTTTCCACCAAAACAAAAACAAAACTCCAGGCCCAGGTGGCTTCACCAGGAATTCTTCAAAACCCTTAAAGATGAAATAATTTAAGTCTTCACAAAAGTTCTTCTGGAAAATAGAAATGACTTCTTGACTCATTTTTGTTATAGCCTTAATACCTGACAAAAAAGAAAATGGTGATTTCTTTCTCCCGAACATGGATGCTAATCTTGAACAAAATGTCATCAAACTGAATTCAGCAATATACAAACAGGACAGTACATCACACCCAAGATGATGTGTTTTCCAGAAATGCAAGATTATTTTAGGGTTCAAAAATCAATCACTGTAATTTACCACAGGAACCGAATAAAGAAGAAAATCGTTGATCAACTCAATAGATTCAGAAAAAGCATTTGATAAAATTCAACTCCTGGTGATAATAAAAGGAAGACAGAAATGTTTAGGAAAGTAGGAATAGAAGGGAAATGCCCTAACATGGTAGAGCATCTACAAAAAAAATTCTCCAGCAAATATCGTATAAATGTTCAAATACTGATGCCTTTCCCCTAATATTGAGAATAAAAGAAAGATGCTTCCTATATATTGCCACTTCTATTCACTATTATATTGGAGGTCCTAGACTTTGCAGTAATGCAAGAAAAAAAAATAAAATTTTAAGAAATGGAAAGAAACAAATGCCATTATTGACAGACTATATCATTGCATACGTAGAAAATACAAATTAATTTGTAGGAAAACTAACAGAATTAATAAGTAAATTCAGCAGGGTTCTTGGATTGAAATATCAATATACAAAGTCTGTTGTATTTATATATAACAGAAACAAAAACAGAATTGAAAAAAGAAAATACTGAAAAATTGGACTACATTAAAATTCAGGTCTTCTTTTCATCAAAAGACTATTAAGAATAAAAAGAAAAGCTACAGAGAAGATATTTACAATCCATATAAATGACAAGTGACTCCTATCCAGAAAATATAAGGAACTCCTACAAATCACCAGGAAAGACAGACAACCCAACAGAAAAATGGGCAAGACACCTGAATAAGCCAACAGATATCCAAATGACCAATAGCATTTGAAAAGCTGCTCCACTTCATTAGTCATCAGGGAAATGCAAACGGAAACACATTAGTCAGAATGGCAAAAGTAAAAAAAGGCCAACAGTATCAAGTGTTGGTGAGGATGTGGATCCCCCAGGACTCTCATAGCGGAAAGGGAACTGGTACAGCCACTTTGCAAAACGATGTAAGCAGTATTTACTAAAGCTGAACATCCACATAGCTTATGAACCGTCAATTCCATTTCTTGATATGTTCCACAGCAAAATGTATACACCAAAACACATGTACAGGTGACCCTTGAACACCACGGGTTTGAACTGCATGTGTCCACTTATACACAGATTTTCTTCCACTCCTGCCAACCCTGAGACAACAAGACCAACCCCTCTTCTTCCTCCTCCTCCTCAGCCTACTCAATGTGAAGATGGAAAATATAAAGACCTTCAGGATGATTCACTTCTACTTAATGAATAGTAAATATGTGTTCTCGTTCTTATAATTTTCTTAAAAATATTTTCAAGCCGGGCATGGTGCTTATGCCTGTAATCCCAGCATTTTGGGAGGCCAAGGCAGGCGGATCACAAGTTCAGGAGTTTGAGAGTTTGAGACCAGCCTGGTCAACATGGTGAAACCCCGTCTCTGCTAAAATACAAAAAATTAGCTGGGTGTGGGGGTATCCACCTGTAATCCCAGCTACTCGGGAGGCTGAGGCAGGAGAATCATTTGAACCCAGGAGGCAGAGGTTGTAGTGAACCGAGATTACACCACTGCACTCCAGCCTGGGAGACAGAGTGAGACTCCATCTCAAAAAAAAAAAAAAAAAAAAAAAAAAGGTATTTTCTATTTTCTAGCTTACTTTACTGTAAGAATACAGTATATACGTTCAAAATATGTGTTAATCAATTATTTATGTCATCAGTAAAGGCTTCTGGTCAATAGTAAGTTATCAGTAGTTAAGTTTTGGGAGAGCCAAAAGTTAAACATGAATTTTTTTACTGCTCCGACCCTCATTGCTCAAGGATCAACTATCCAAGAACATCCCAAGTAGCATTATTTGTCATAGGGCAAAATTAAAATCTACACAAATAACCAGCAGCTGAAATATGTATAAATAAATTATCATACATCCATACTATGAAAATCCTTATAGAACTAAAAATGTACAAACTACTTGTACATTAATGACATTAGATCAACCTTACAGACATAATACTGAGTGGAGAAAAAAGTCAGACAAAAAGAATGTATAATGTAGAATTCTATTTTTATAAAATTCACAAGCTAGCAATCTAACATTTGGTGACAAAAATGGTCACCGTTGGGGAAAAGAAGGTTATTGGAGGAGGCTTGAGGTTTTTCTAATGCTGGTAATATCCTAGCTCATGATTTGGGTGGTTACACGGTGTGTTCACTTTTATAATTACCCATTTAGTTCTACACTATGCCTGTCTTTATGTACATAATACTTCAAATTTTTTTTTTTTTTTTGAGATGGAGTTTCACTCTTGTTGCCCAGGCTGGAGTGCAATGGCACAATCTTGGCTCATCGCAACCTCCGCCTTCCAGGTTCAAGCGATTCTCCTGCCTCAGGCTCCTGAGTAGCTGGGATTACAGGCATGTGCCGCCATGCCCGGCTAATTGTTTTGTATTTTTAGTAGAGACGTGGTTTCTGCATGTTGGTCAGGCTGGTCTTGAACTCCCGACCTCAAGTGATCTGCCCACCTTGGCCTCCCAAAGTGCTGAGATTACAGGCGTGAGCCACCATGCCTGGCCAATACTTAAATTTTTTAAAGTTTATTTACTCACTAGCTGTGTGATAGTGGCAAGGTACTTAACCAGCATAAGTCTCTGCTCTCATCCATTAAATTGATATAAACCATGACTGCTTCAACGGATCGCTCTGAAATACAAATGAAATAATGTAGGCGAAAAGCTTAGTTTAGCACAGGACCTGGCTGAATAAACAATAGTACTTTATAATCACCATTGAAGATTTTATTTGATTGTTTATTTCTGGAATTATCCAGGTTTGACCACTTGCACACAGCAGTCAGGTCTCTTCCTGGGCACACCTGTCAGCAGCAAACCTGAGATTTTTCAAGGCCTCCTGGGATACCAGCCTCAGACTGTGTTTAGGGCCGGGTGACATGGCTCACGCCTTTAATCCTAATACTTTGGGAGACTGAGGTGGGCGGATCACTTGAGGTCAGGGGTTCGAGACCAGCCTGGCCAACATGGTAAAACCCTGTATCTACTAAAAATACAAAAATTAGCCAGAAATCACTTGAACCTGGGAGGCAGAGGTTGCAGTGAGTGGAGATCATGCTACTGCACTCCAGCCTAGACAACAGAGCAAGACTCTGTCTCAAAAAACAAACAAGAACAACAAAAAACTGCGTTTAGAGGCCCCTGGTCCTCACACTTGCAGAGGCTCACCTCCTAATGCCGAGAGTGTTGAGGGATCGAACTGCTTGGAGGTGGAGATTGAGCTTCTGTTGTCCAAACAAGCTCACGCCTCTGGACCCCCTCTTCCCAGAGGCAGGCCTTTAGGATGCCCCAAGACAGGAAAATACAATCATGTGATCCAAAGGAAGTCCCGTAGAGCTGAGGTGTCCCTGAGAGAGGGAGGGAGTTCAGGGACCTGCATCTGCAGCCCCTTAGCCTCAGAGAAGGGAGAAGGGAGAGCGCCCAAGGGAAACCCAACCTGAGGCTTTGGGTGGCAGGGGAGTGTGTAATGAATGCCTCATCGGGGCACCTCGGTGATAATGCGTGTGTTGTGAGGGCATCCGAGAAGCACACAGACTCCATTCATCCTGTGCACAAACAGGACTCTGCAGACCCAGCTGCTTCTCTGGAAGCCATGGGAGGTTCTTAAATATGAGCTACAGCTGCTTTTTGCCAATTCACATTTTTTTAAGGTTCATGTTGTTTTTGCTCTTGCCTTTTTGACTTAGAGTCTCTGTCTTGGCCTTGGCTTTGTCCAGTTATTTCTTCATTTTGAGAGATAGCATCTTCAGATGCAAACATTGCCCAAATCTTTCCTGATTATAAAAATCACCTTGGCCGGGCGTGGTGGCTCAAGCCTGTAATCCCAGCACTTTGGGAGGCTGAGGCGGGTGGATCACGAGGTCAAGAGATCGAGACCATCCTGGTCAACATGGTGAAACCCCGTCTCTACTAAAAATACAAAAAATTAGCTGGGCATGGTGGCACATGCCTGTAATCCCAGCTACTCAGGAGGCTGAGGCAGGAGAATTGCTTGAACCCAGGAGGCGGAGGTTGCGGTGAGCCGAGATCGCGCCATTGCACTCCAGCCTGGGTAACAAGAGCGAAACTCCGTCCCAAAAAAAAAAAAAAAAAAAAAAAAAAAAAAAAAAAAAAAAAAAAAAACAACCAATTTTTTTTTTTTTTTTTTTTTAGAAGGAGTCTCACTCTGTTGCTAGACTGGAGTGCCATGGCGTGATCTCAGCTCACTGCAACCTCCACCTCCCAGGTTCAAGTGATTCTTCTGCCTTAGCCTGCTGAGTAGCTGGGACTACAGGTGCACACCACCACAGCCAGCTAAATTTCTCTTTATCTATGCAGTAAGCTCTTAATAGCAGTTCCACGTTCTGTCCACCCCAAGTTTCTTACCCTTTCCTTTCGTTCAGGCTCAACACTTCCGACTCTAAAGTTGTGGGACTCTCTCTGCATTCCCAGGATGCTGAGATAATGCCCTGAGCCAGGCTTCGCACTCCTGCAGGGGTTAGGGGCAGGGGGAAATCTGGCTAAATGACATGTTATTTAAGTCAAATTCAAGTCAATTTCTTTTGAAAAGCTGTGCGATGACTGGTAACACACAGAGGTAACTCAAAGTTGTTCTGCAAAATCACTACAAACTTCCAAAACAGTATTTTGAGGGTTACAAGGACTACCAATAACGTTGCTTTAAAACACCATAATATGCCATTTAAGAGTATTTTTTCTGGTCAGTTTTTCTCCATAATCCTTTATCCAGGGGCTACTGCTCAGAATTTGGAGTTAGAACATCTGAGTTTTGTCTCAGTTCTGATTTTGATGTGTTGTAGGCGATATCTCCATCGAATTGTGTTTCTTCATATTTCATACACACTGATGATAATGTCACATACACTGATGGTAATGGCTTACCTATTTTCCTTACTTGATCATCTCGTGGGGCCATAGAAAGAGCCCAGAGCAGGGATGACAGGGGTTTCATTGAATGAATAAATGAGTGAATGAATGAGGGAATTGGTGCCACATTAAGAAAGGCAGTTTTACTAAGAAGAATTAGTAACAAATGTTGGATCTTTTTAAAAAAATAAATCCCATAAGGTGTGAGGCTGAGATCCTGTGAAGTGGTGCTGAATTTGGAGGCAGAGTCCTGCCAGGAGAATGTTCTTCTCTGCTGGTGTCTGTGCTGACCCTCTGCGCAATCTGCTAGTTGCCCAAAAAGACACGTTGGTGATCTTCATTTGAGCTTCTGCTGCTTTTGTCTTTCAGAGCATTGTTGGATGGGGACTGCCAGGAAGCAGAATTTGATGACAGCTTTTGGGTTTGACTTGCCAGTGAGCATGTTTGGCCGGGTGTGGGGCTTCCGTGGTGTAGCTGGCCCGCGGCCTTGGATTTCTTCCCGTTTTCAATGGGCGCACTGCATTTCCCAAATGGACTCTTGCAAAGGGCATCTCACAAGTCTGTGTGTGTAAGTGTACGTGTGTGTAAGTGTACGTGCGTGCACACGTAGAAAACAGCCCGCTTCTTGGATGTCCGGCCTTTAAAATGACATCAAATCACCCTCGTCACCATCTGCAAACATGCCTTGAGCACTCAGTATTGCAAAGCACCGTTCTAGATGTCATGAGGAATGCAACAAAATAGGGTTCCTTCTGTGGCTTTCAGAGGTTTACAGACTCAGTTAGGCAGATAAAATCAATAATATCCCATTTATATCAGTCCAGTTTCTTGATTGTATGCCTTGGAAATCAACTCTGGTTAAGCTGTATTCCAGGTGGGAGGACCTGATGAGCTCTCTTCCAGGTAGGGTGACACTAGATGCATGTGTCTGGAATGCAGCCTGAGGAAGTTAGTCATGTCTGGAGCAGGGTGTGTCTAATGACCCAGGTGGAAAACGGTGTACTCACAGAATGTGACCACAAAAAAAGATGTTGAAGGCAGGCACAGTGGCTCATGCCTGTAATCCCAGCACTTTGGGAAGCCAAGGTGGGCGGATCACAAGGTCCGGAGTTCAGAACCAGCTTGGCCACCATGGTGAAATCCCATCTCTACTGAAAATACAAAAATCAGCAGAGCATGGTGGCAGGTGCCTGTAATCCCAGCTACTCAGGAGGCTGAGACAGGAGAATTGCTTGAACCCAGGAGGCA